GTATACTTATTTGGGATAGTTTATGCTATTGCAAAGGTATTAGCAACATTTTTGAGGTTGTACATAATGATGTGCTCCTCCAGGGCAACAGCGACATCCACAATTTCTTTTGCCAGCAACTCTCGCCAACTTCCAACTTCCTCTGTAAAAATGAGAAGGCATGAAACTGTTATGCCTCAAGGAGGTCATTGAACCCTGGTCAAAACCGTTTAAAGATCCTTTTTATTTTACAACCGTAAACGTTTTGGGATTGGGAGGGGAATATATTGAACATATTTCTAGATATTTTATACGCTTCCTTTTGGTTTGATTTACAAAAGAACCTTTTAAAATGTTCGACAAAGACATACTAACAAAGCTAAAGTACAGTTTTTTTTAAAGTACAAAATTCTCAGCTGACATAACATATAATTAAGTTGATTAATATCTTGGATAAATAGGATATCCATATAATAATATTGCTTAAAAGATTACCCTCCTTTTATATTTTTGTGTAAAATGTATTCTTGTACTTTCAAGTATTTTTACAGCAACACTTTTAATGACAAAAATGCTGGAACATGTTGGCATTTACTCCTTGTATTGAAAACAATCTGCTTCCACACTCCAGTCCAGCTGGTGGACGTAATGCATCTCTTGGCTAGTTAAATAAAAAAGAAGAAGTAGTTTGTGCGAAAAAATTCAAGCCTGACGACGACGAGCTCATCAACGACTTTGAGTACTGGCGACGGAGTAGCCCATCCACACGTAGCTGTCACACGACGGTCTCCTTTGGTAGGTTATCCGTGGCATTATCCACACCCCATAGTCTGGATTCACCTGCTATTAAAAAAGATCACTATTTCATCGCTGCCGCTGGTCAACTTTAAAATTAACAGCAGGCAAAAACAGCCTTCGGTGCTACAGATGGCCAATCCGCTATCGTTCAATCTCCACAGCGTCTTCTTGTTTACAGTGTAGTCGGTCAGTAATGTGCAGGACAATAGGCTAGACAGACTAGTGTCAAAGTGTCAAATTGCAATTTGTTTGTTATTTCAGATGCATTTTGACAAGACTACAATTTTTCAACACGCCAAAGTGGGAGTGACTGTGTGACCCCCCACGTCGGAAATCCACCCGCATGACACCACTTCTCTAGGACTTAACTGTCCCATCAAAAGCTTTACATCACTCTAATTAAAGGCTTGCAAGTGTCTGGCTTTTTGTAGTTCAATATTAGTACTAGCACAATATTTACTGCTGGTGATTTGTACATGCAAGTCTGCATACAGGATGCAGTTCACTATTAAAAATAAATTAAATTGCCCTTCATGATGGGAAAAATAAAGTCTGTATCTATAGATGTCATTTAACGGCCATAATTCAATCTAAAAGAACCTATCAAATTGGATTATTTTAATATAGTCTGTAACTTACATGCAGGCTGAGGTAAGCTGCTGTCCAGCATCCAGTACAGACAGGAAGGTGTTTTTTTATTTTAATTATTTCATAATAGAATAGAATCCAGAATAGAATTTAAAATCATTCTTCTTACCTACAAAGCTCTTAATGGTCAGGCACCATCTTATCTTAAAGAGCTCATAGTACCTTACTACCCCACCAGAGCACTGCGCTCCCAGAATGCAGGGTTACTTGTGGTTCCTAGAGTCTCCAAAAGTAGACTAGGAGCCAGAGCGTTCAGCTATCAAGCTCCTCTCCTGTGGAACCAGGTTCCAGTTTGGGTTCAGGAGGCAGACACCATCTCCACATTTAAGAGTAGGCTTAAGACTTTCTACTAACACAACTTCTCCCCTTTCTGGTTGTCTTGTGCTTTCTCTTCCCTCTCCTCTCTCCTCCTATCACTTCCAGCAGGTTTGCTGGCTCTGGAGCTGTGGAGTCTGGATCTGTGGTTGCGGGTCACCTGCTGCCCCCGTGTTCCTGCTCGACACCCTCTGCTGCAACGACTATTGTTACTAGTCCTATTGTTATTATTGTTATTATAATCATTAACATTATGACTGTTACCATTAACACTACTATAAATATCTGTACCATTTTTCATTTAATCTATAGCAACATCACCTTTACTGTCTGTACCTCTGTGTGTGTATATTGTGTAGGCTGCCTCCCTCCCCTCTCTCTCTCTCTCTCTCTCTCTCCCCCCTTCACCCCCAACCGGTCGAGGCAGATGGCCGCCCACCCTGAGCCATGGTTCTGCTCGAGGTTTCTGCCTCTTAAAAGGAAGTTTTTCCTTGCCTCTGTCTCCTAGTGCTGCTCTTGGTGGGAATTATTGGGCTTCTGTAAATAACATCATAGAGTACAGTCTAGACCTGCTCTCTATGAAAAGCGCTGAGATAACTGTTGTTGTGATTTGGCGCTATATAAATAAAATTGAATTGAATTGAATTGAATAATGATCATTATGTGAGAAAATAGTTTGTGTTTGAATTTCTGTCATTAAGAAATATTTCATTGTCTTTTTTGTTAAGGTAAAAAGAGACAGAGAGACAGAGAAATCCCCACAGACTCCCTGGCATTAACACAATGTTGCTCCCCTTCTTCACTGGGACAGGGAGGCTACAGTTATGGGGAGACTGGGCTGCTGCTGACTCATCTGTTGTTAGTCTGCTGAAAGGGGCAGGGACAATGATTTAATATGAATATCTTGCTAAACGTTTCCCTGCACTGATTAAATGTTGAGGAAATGTAGGCTAACACCTGTCTTCTTAACCTTTATTTAACTAGGAAAGTCACATTGAGGTTAAAACCTCTTTTACAAGTGAGTCTGCAGCTAGCTAGCTTATTTCACTGTGGACATTAAGCCAACAGGTTAACACCACTCACAGACTAAAGGCTGCCCACCTGTCTTGGGGAAAAACTGGATTACAGTTTGACATCCTTTAATTTGTCTTTCCAATCATTCCTTTTTGGAAAACCAGATTTTGGTTTACTAGGCAACATCATGATCACTGTGTTTCATCTACTGACTGCATCTAAACACTGTCACTGATTCAGTTCAATTCAATTCAATTTTATTTATATAGCGCCAAATCACAACAACAGTTTTCTCACAGCATTTTTCATAAAAGAGCAGGTCTAGACCGTACTCTGTGATGTTATTTACAGAAGCCCTACAGTTCCCACCAAGAGCAGCACTAGGCGACAGAGGCAAGGAAAAACTTCCTTTTAAGAGGCAGAAACCTCGAGCAGAACCATGGCTCAGGGTGGGCGGCCATCTGCCTCGACCGGTTGGGGTGAGGGTGAGGGTGAGAGAGAGAGAGAGAGAGAGAGGGAGGGGGGGGGGGGGAGGAGGGAGGGAGGGGGGGGGGGGGGGAGATGTGAGGGAGAGGGAGAGAGAGGGAGAGGGAGGGGGGGGAGATGTGAGGGAGAGATGTGAGGAGAGATGTAAGGAGAGAGAGAGAGGGAGATGTAAGGAGAGAGAGAGGGGAGGGAGGCAGCCTACACAATATACACACAGAGGTACAGACAGTAAAGGTGATGTTGCTATAGACTAAATGAAAAATGGTACAGATATTTATAGTAGTGTTAATGGTAACAATCGTAATGTTAATGATTATAACAACAACAATAAGACTAGCAACAATAGTCGTTGCAGCAGAGGGTGTCGAGCAGGAACACGGGGGCAGCAGGTGACCCGCAACCACAGATCCAGACTCCACAGCTCCAGAGCCAGAAACACCTGCAGGAAGTGATAGGAGGAGAGAGGAGAGGGACGAGAAAGCACAAGACTACCAGAAAGGGGAGAAGTTGTGTTAGTAACATGCAATAATGGGATGAGGTTGCATACAGAGGGAGAGAAAGTAGAGAAGAGAGGAGCTCAGTGCATCATGGGAAATCCCCCGGCAGTCTAGGCCTATAGCAGCATAACTAAGGGATGGTTCAGGACTCACCTGAGCCAGCCCTAACTATAAGCTTTATCAAAGAGGAAAGTCTTAAGCCTACTCTTAAATGTGGAGATGGTGTCTGCCTCCTGAACCCAAACTGGAACCTGGTTCCACAGGAGAGGAGCTTGATAGCTGAACGCTCTGGCTCCTAGTCTACTTTTGGAGACTCTAGGAACCACAAGTAACCCTGCATTCTGGGAGCGCAGTGCTCTGGTGGGGTAGTAAGATACTATGAGCTCTTTAAGATAAGATGGTGCCTGACCATTAAGAGCTTTGTAGGTAAGAAGAATGATTTTAAATTATATTCTGGATTTTACTGGAAGCCAATGCAAAGAAGCTAAAACAGGAGAAATATGATCTCTTTTCCTGGTTCCTGTCAGAACACGAGCTGCAGCATTCTGAATCAGCTGAAGAGTCTTAATGGACTTTTTCGAGCAGCCTGATAATAAGGAATTGCAGTAATCCAGCCTAGAAGTAACAAATGCATGGACTAGTTTTTCTGCATCATTTTTAGACAGCATGTTCCTGATTTTCACAATATTACGTAGGTAAAAAAAGGCGGTACTTGAAATGATGAGTGCACTAAGGCAGGACCAAACCATTTCGTGCAGATACAGGGGGGTGGTCGGCCAATATGAAGGTTTAGTTTTTGGTCAATGGGGATTTTTAACTTTTACTGCCAAAAACAAGTAAAAACAAAGAGATCATTCATTTTAATATTATATTTGAATATATTTATACTCACTGATGATGGTTTATATCATGTATAATATAAAATAATTTGATATTAGTTTGTAATTATTCTTTGGGCCCCCTGTCAGTCAGGGGCCCTTGGAATTGTCCTAACTTTTCCCCCCTATATGGCGCCCATGGGTGATACTGTCAAGACCTAAAAGCAGAAGTACACTAAAGACCAAATGCCTTTGAAACAACAGTAACTATTGCAGCTTGAGACTTTCCTTAAACCCTCACACAGGACTGCAGCCGGATTTTAAACATTTATTCAGGATGAACAGAAAACCGCTGAAGGCAACAGGTAATTAAAATAATTCTACTGTTCAAGCATCTGCAGGTAAGACAAGGTTTTGTCTGCTTCTGATTCACTCGAGAACCACCTGAGTTTTTATTTATATTTATTGGGTTTTTCAGAATGAATACACTGCATACACGTCTTCATATCAACATTAAAAAATCACAATTCTTAAGTACAAACATTACATCTTTCTGTCTATACAATAATCAATTTCAGATACTCAGCTAACATCCTAGGTGACTCAAGAAATGTGATTAGTTGTCCCCATATTTTAAAATAACGTTTTCCATGGCTAGGCAGTGAGAAAGGCTATTTAACCAATGTCCCACCTTAGGTGCCTCCGTGCTCTTCTAGGTGATTGTAACACAGTGCTTAGTCTGTAGTGAGTATCTTTTTGCACCTGACAGTCTTAACTCGGGTGGGAATAGTCGAAGGATGAATATCAGAGGACAGCCAAGCTATTTCATTTTTGAGATAATCTCAGATATAGTTTGTGTGATCTTTCCACAATTCTTTCAAAGGCAGTGGAATAATGTGCCCTTTTCTAGACCAAATTTAGAACCCAATTCCATCCTTTTGCATTAGGATTGTTCCACTCTGCGCAGGGAAAAATAAGATTTAATATATGTTTTTAAATTGAGGAACTCTTGTTTTTGTTTGTCTAATGGGTCATCAGATTCAGCAGAAAGATAATTGATCATGATAAAAAGTCACTGTTGAAATGTTCATGAACGGTGCAGCAGCGTGAGAAGATGTTTGAAAAACAGTGTGGGCATAAAAGCTTTGACGAGGAGGCTTCCTCTTACAACTCAGCATTAGCTGCTAGTCAAACAACAACTCTGTCACAACTTCAAAGCAGAACTAAAAGCCACACACTTTCTGTGAAATATAAAACTGGCACACTAAACTTATTTAAACATTTCCCTTTCAGCCCTCATATAGGTCTGCTGCTTAATGTTCTTTTTCAGAATGAACAAAAAAACTCAGAAACTGTTTTTTTATCTGCCAGTGGGATACTTTCTAATATGCTGAAACATGCAGATTCTCAACTTCCTCTGGTGCTTTGCATGGCTGCCAGCAGTTACTTTTACAATGTTTAAATTGATTATAAAATACATATTTAGAATCATGATTTTTTTCTCCCCAGTGTGCTCAACATATTCTTCTCTTGATCTCTTCTGTTATTCTTCTGCATGTAACATTCAATTTTAGCATTAGCATGTTTGATCTGCCTTCACTCCGTCTTTTCCAGCAGTGGCAGTGTGCTGGGTGATTCTGTCAGTGATCATGGCCCTTCGTATCTACTGTGAGTACCTTCTATGTTAAGTTATGTTATGTCAGTTCAAACACAAACACACACACTCTGTGCTGAGCTGCAGAGGAGTGATGGGAACACAAAGAGGAAGATTAGAGACATGTGAACCTATCCTCAGTACAGCGCTTAATAAAACAGGGTTACACAGTCAGAGAGGACAGACAGATGCAAATTAAATCAAGCAATTTAAAATGATATAAAGTTAAAAAATAAGATTCCACAACAATGAGACAATAAAAAGGGGCATATACTGTAGGATGAGATAGAAGTGGACAGATGCACTAAAATTAATAACACTTTTTGTAAAGGCATGTCTTGAGAAGTGATTTAAAAGATGACTTTTATGATCATGTAAGCACTTCTTTAACAGTTTTTGTATAAAATGTGTTATTTAAATAAGCTTTTCCTATCACTGTCTGTTACTGTAGTTACCTCTGTCATTTCTGAACACAACGCCAAGCTGACTGCAGAAAACCAGAACCTGAAATCACAAAACGCCAAGCTGTCTGCAGAAAACCAGAACGAGATGATGGAGAATGAGCTCAACGTCAGTCGAGCTCAGTGGAGCATTGATGCCTACTGCCCAAAACCACAAAACCAAAGTATGTTCAGATCCTGTTATTAATGTAAAAAAAAATAAAATAACATAATGCAGTAACAATATTTATTGGTTTGTCTCTGTTGTTTCAGACAGACAGTGTAAAGCTTGTCAGGATGGCTGGTTACACTCCCAGTCCAGCTGCTATGGGATTCATGACCCTGATGTTTCTGGTCAGAAAACCTGGGAAGAAGCTCGAGAAAACTGCAGAGGAAAGATTTCAGATTTGGTTGTTATAGCTGATCAAACGGAGAAGGTAATCTTCAGTAAACTGAACATTTTTCAATCTATAAATTGAATATGTATTCTCTGTAGGTCTGAACACACTGAGTCTGTAGGCCGCAGTGTGTTAATTTAAGTATAGTGTTTAAATATCTGATAACTCTCTCTCTGTTGTCAGACATTCATCAATGATAAAAGTTGGGGCAGTTCAGGAACCAAGGGATACTGGATTGGTCTGAGAGCTGAAGATGGGAAATGGAAGTGGGTCGATGGAAGTGTTCTGACTGAAAAGTAAGAGACACATTCATAAACATTTTGAAGCATAAAATCTATCAGCCTGCATCTAAACATCATGTTCTTCCCTCAGCTCCTGGATACAACAACCTGCTACCAACGGTCAGTGTGTAATTTCTGTCCAGAGAGAAGGATGGAAATCAGTGAGCTGTGGTGCCAGAAACAGATGGTTCTGCAAAAAGAAGGCTTTATCTCTTTAAACACTGCAGTCATACTTGAGAAGGTTACTGGGGACTCTGTAAAGATTCATTACATGGAAGATGATATCAACTGGATTATAAAAATTAAAGTATGAAGACTTCTACTACACAGATTATTTCTTTCAAAAACAATGCGTGTGTTTAAAAACAAAAGGGGTCGGTGTGTGTTTGTGTGTCACTGCAAAAAAAAAGACAGTCAGATCCAATGTGTACGTGCAGTTAGATGCTGGATTATATCGGTACTGTGAGACTGACTACTGACACCAGCATTTAGGAAAATACAGTCACTGACCTAAAGAGAAACCAAAGTGTTAATTATTAATAACTTGGATGTGCTTTTCTTCTTCTTTGTTAGAAATGTAGAGCTTATGATTTGTGTGTCAGCAGATGGATGAAAGGGAACAACAAGACCAGTTTCCTGAATGTGACATTTTACATTGTTTCTCCTGATTGGCCAACAGGTGCATTATTTGTTCTCAAGAGAATGTTCCAGTGTTTGGTTACTTTTTGTATTCTGGCGTATATAATATTTATACAAGTGATGGTTAAGTTGTGTCTCTTTGTTTTACTTGTTTCAAAGCAATCATTAGGTTGGGATAAATAATATGATATTGTAATATTTTGTGATAAGTTCTAATATTTTCTGTTCTGTTACTGTTGCACAGGTGCTTTCTTTCTTTCTTGCAGGTCAAACGTTGGCCTCTTTATGGCAGTTTGACTCTGAAATGATGCTGCATGTGTTAATGTTGCTGAGTTTGTGTTAAAAAGACAAAGACTGTACTTTGGTACACATTGTTTCTTCTCAGCTGTGACACTGAGGCTGTTCATGATGAGGATACATGAAACACATCACTGATTCCTCCTGTGTATAAAATAGCTTTTACATTTTTAGGAGGACAGTATGTTTTTCTCCTTAGTTAGATATAATATGTCAGATGTTTGATTTTAGTTTTGTAATATAGCAGGTAATCACTGGTATCTCTGGTGATGCTCTTGTTATTGTTATACTTTCATATCTTGAGTTACCCTGTGACTGCAAAACATTTGCTTACAACTTAGTTTTGTGAGGAACAGCTCTAACACACAGCTCCCCCTAAAATTTGTGTACATATAAAGAATCATGAGACAAATGTCTAATTAGTGAGCTAGTGAGGGATTGATAGGTGTATTTGTTTTTCAGACAGAGCCAGGCAAAGGGTTTCCACACTGTCTGCTGGCTAACACTGGCACATTTACAGTAATGTTGATTAATGTGTGTTGTCCTTATAAATAAATAAATGTCCTGTCTTAATGCTAAGCTCGGCTAAATGTATCCCATCTCCAGCTCTATCCTTCATACACAGACATTAGATTGATATCGACTGTCTCATCTTGTTCATTTTTAGAATACAAATACAGTGTGACCTTCTGGATGGAATCGTACATCTTTTCTTCGTATTGATCGGTGAATGATCGGCCCTGGATCAATATATGTAACTATAAATGTACAAGGGGGTAGAGATGGTGACTGCTTTGCTCAGGGACCTTGTCTTTACCTTGAAGTCAGTCTGTATAAGTATGTACTGTAAGTATATATAAGAGTATGTGACTTTCCCTCATACCCTCCTCTCACCTACTGCATGGTGGGATAGGCTCCAGACCACTTAACCCTGCAAAGCATAATCAGGTATAAAAAATCTATTAATGGTTGTTATCTCCATCCTCTATTGGTTTTCTTTATAAAAGCAGCTGACAGTGCAGCGTACCTGTGCGTTGCCACCTCCGGGCCCTGAGACATCTTCAGCTGCAGCAGGAGTTGGTTCTCCAGAGGGAGACAATCAGTCTGCTGGCCCAGCTCCTCTTTGTCTGCCTCAAGGCCCTCCAAGTGCTCCTGCCAAAACAGCAAGTGAAATAGGAAAAGAAAGTGGTTAAAAAAAAGATATGAGAAAGGTTTCTCACAGTGAAGTATCATGGGTAAAAACACACATTCTCTGTGCCACTGCCATTCTGTGGTTTGATCAAATGTTAAGAGAATAAAATCTAATTGTTCTGTAAAAAGTCTTTAAAGAATTGACCAGCCATGTCATTGACATGCAATAGAAGAAACACTAACTGCATTTTCTCCCACAAGTCATGCAGATGCTGATTATCAACTGTTCACCTTCCCCTGTGGTTTGTGACTTGTTTCTATTTTCACCATGTGACGCTACTAAAGAGACACCATACACTGTGAGAGATTGCACGTTTCACAAGAAACTGCATGTGAAGATTATTTTCACACGGTCGAAGTTCCCCAAATTACAACAGTTATTTTCACAATTTCTGACCTTCTCCCTCAGCCAGATCTGTGCCCTCTGTTCCTCCTCCAGCTCCTTCCTGCTTTGGTCCAGTTTTGTCTTGGCTTTTACCTGGTCCCGAGCCTCCCTCTGCCTCTGCAGGTCCAGGGCTTGGACCTCCTCGGTCAGCCTGCCGACCTCCAGCTCTGCGTGGACCCTGTCCCTCCAGGCTACATCCACCTCCAGCCTCGCCTTCCGCAGCTCTTCCTCCAGACCCTTCCTTCGTATTGAGGCTCCCTGATTGCTGCGTCTCAGACCGTGGAGCTCTTTTGCAAGCAGTGCATTTTCCTCTTCCAGGAGTTTGACCCGGCTCAGGTAGGTCTCCAGGCGTCTGTTCAGGTTCAGCATCTGGTGCTTCTCCTCACCCAGGTGGCTGTGATGAAAGGTTCTATGCAGACTGTGGAGCTCCATGTCTGTGGTAGAAAATAAAGAGATTTAGCAAAGCAAGGCGTCACTCAGAGGTAAAGTGATTATGATTTGGCAGCACACTGTATCCCCGTGTCCAGGCCTGAGTCAGTGTGTGCGGGGCTTTTCTCTGTGAGTGAGGCTCCTGTGGGGCTCTGGTAGTGTGACTGCCAGCAAGAGGCTTCCCTTTCATACTAAAGTTAATGAAGGGGCTGGGCACATGGGGAGGAGGGATGGAGAGGGAGGAGACTGAAGGCTGGAGAGGGAGGGGAGAGGAGATGAGGGTTGGAGTAGGAACACTGGAAGAGATGGGAAAGGGCAGATGAGGGCAGTGATGTCATTTCTAAGGTTAACTCTTTCACCACTGGCCCTTTTTATAGTTCAGGAAAAAAATTATTTTGGTCATGAAGGTCATGAGCTGTAAACCAAGCCACACTCAGAACGTCAGTGTGAACTTTTCCAAAGACTACCAAAACATTTTTAACACCAAATGCCTAAGCAGAATGGGCACAACCTCCAGTATCTGCAGAGTAAAGGGAATGAATTCCCACACAGACAGTAGTAATAATAATAAGATCATAAGAACTTATGATTACTTCCTGGGCTTGCAAATTGCTTTTTTATGTGTTTTTTTTTGCATGAGTTCCATCAGTAAGTTGCTCAGAGAGAGAGAGAGAGAGAAACATTTGTGTATTAGCATAAAGGTTATAAAGGATGTCCTACAACCACACTGATTTAAGCCCCCAAATCTGTTATAATAATCTGGTAAATAATAATGTTTACCAAGATCTGCTCTAGTGTTAATCTAACCAAACTGAAAATGAAATATTCATACTGTCACATTTTAAGAGTTTATCAAGCAAGCTCTTTGACATAGTGAAGATCATCATCAGCACCCATATTAAGGAACTGATTATTTCAGGTAAGAGAGAACAAAGAAATAATACAGAGTTCAGGATTTGCATCCTTCCTTACTTCCTCTTTCAAAGCAGCCTAACTCATGAATTTACCTTAAAATCATTATTTGTAACTTGATTCCAGTTCCATGTAACTTTATACAGGGAACAGAGCAAAGATCAGGGGAGAGCCCCCCCCCCCCCAAAAAAAACAAACTCATGTTCTAGTGATACAGCCAAACTGGAAATCCAACCTATACGTGTCCACTAAGGAGAAATATTGGCTTATAAGTAGACTAGGGCTAAATGATTTTTGAAAATAATCGAATTGTGATTTTTTAACAAATTCAAAACAGACAAGCAATAAATGATTGTATGGTATGACGAACACAGAAATATTTAACATAACTTTCCTGTTGGCCAGGCCTATTTGTGAAATTAGGTGATGCATGAATAATTATTATGAGCAATTGTGGAAAAGTATGATTTTGGAGAAAGATAATTTGCGAGTCAAGTCATGACATTAAACGATATCACATAATGTCATCAGGAAGGCCTACCTACAGACACCAAGAAAAATAAAGTTCACCACACTGTGTTTGTTATACAGGCCTAAGCTCAATACAAAACCCACAGTTCAACCACCAATTATGGAGTCCTTATGTTACTTCAAATCTCCACAAGAGTCCATCTCTCAATAAAAAACTCCTCTTCTATATCCAAGAAAGCAAACAAAATACTCATACAAATACTTGTTCAATACAAAAGTTGGCCAACGAAAATAAAACCAAGTGACGCGTCTTGCGTGTAACAGACAAGCTTAGTGATTCTCCTGCAACAGTGGAGTTCTCTAACCATCCTCCCCGGTCAATGTTGCTGGTGAGCGGCGCACTGGCTGTAACCAGGGTGGACAGACTGGGCCCCTTTCAGACTGGTGAGTTTGGTTTGAAACACCGTTACAAATATTCCTGATTGCTCTGTGTTTGTGACTGTGCTATGGGTGCACCCTCAAAACTCCAGAGAAATGGCCATGGCTAGTAGCTACACTAATCATAGAACATACAAATGTACAAGGCTACACACAAAAAATAAAGCTATAGGCTAAAATACAGTTGCAGAGATTCAGTAGCGCACAAAAGCCGTTGCCATGGTTACAGCGGTGTTTCCTTGTGGAGCTCTTGTTTGCCTGTTTGTTCACAGGATAAGCGCAGTGAGAACCCGCGGATCATATGCAGGAGGAGAAGGGTCGTTCCCTGTCTGGTAAGGCTTTATACACACACAAACGCTAAAACATGTGGCCAACAGAGAGCGAGATAACGTGGCCACGGTGGGCGCTTGTCCTGCTTGCTAGATTATAAAAAAGAGCTTGTTATATTATCACTGCTGCTAGTCAAGTTGAGAATTAACAGCAGGCCAAAACGGCCCGCATGTCAGGTCCGATGGCCAATCCGCTAGTGAGTCAAGGTACAGCATAGCGTGCCAGGTTAATACTTCCTCTGCAGACTGCTTTACTTTCGTGTGTCAGAGTGTAATCTCAGCCTATGCGATTAGAAAATCGAAAAAAGAGTTTTATCATATTGCGATATTATCGCAAATGCAATTAATTGTTCAGCCCTAAAGTAGACTAGATGAAAAATCACAAGGTCTCCAGAATCATCACCTAGAGACAATGGCTGTGTCCGAGAAGTATTTTTTGCTGAGGAAGGTTCCTAACTGAAAGTGACCCAGAAGTGTTTAAGTGGCAGCCATGATCTGGTCGAATTCTCTGAAAGCTAAGGAAAGGTGCTTGCTGTGCAATGCTTCCTTTCATATCTCCTTTAGCATAGGGTACACCGGACCATCCTATATGAAAGGAAAGGAGAGAATGCTGTCCCACAATTCTTTGCGGCAGCAACATTTAAAGTGGCGCACGTTCTCAAACTCAAACGATATAATCCATCAACCACATTTAGCACGATCCCTGCTATACAGAAGCACATTATGATACTTTAATAAGACTCACAATTACCTTCTTTCTTTTGGTTTGTTTTCTTTTGGCTTTTTTGTAATCTGATACTGTTTCTACACCGTTTTATGTTTCAGATTGTTGAAATAAGCCATTAAGTGTTTTCTACAATAAAAAAAATAAATCACCAACCAAGTTACCATTGGTGGATATTAAGCCTTTTCTCTCTTATGCCATAACTTGCTAATATGCATATATCTTAAACTGTCAACATTAACTGAGAACCATGCAAGCCGTTACTAGTCTTGTAACGTGATCAAAGTGAGGATAATGTTGCAGCGTGTAGCCTCACCTTATGTAGCTTACTGCAGCCTTCTGGAAATTAATATTACTTTAGTCACAAATGCTGACACCCTCGCCTTAATAAAGGCAAAGATCAAGCTGGATAACCTCTAGGCGTTTCCCACACACTGATTTATTTGTGGTGGCCCGCCACATTATTGACGCTGATTTTTGATTGATTTTGTTGCTATTTAAAATGGGTAAAATTGTATTTAATGACAGAGCTCCGCGCAGTGCATACAGGTGAAATGTTACTAATATATTATACAGACTCATTACATGCAAAGTGAGATATTTCAAGCCTTTATTTGATATAATTTTGATGATTATTGCGTACAGCTTATGAAAACTCTCAGAAAATTAGAATATTGTGAACTCTAATCAGCTAATTAATCCAAAACACCTGCAAAGGGTTCCTGAGCCTTTAATTGGTCTCTCAGTCTGATTCAGTGGAATTCACAATCATGGGGAAGACTGCTGACATGACAGTTGTGCAGAAAACCATTATTGACACCCTCCACAAGGAGGGAAAGAAGTGGGATGTTCTCAAAGTGCTGTATCAAGGCACATTAATAGAAAGTTAAGTGGAAGGGAAAAGTGTGGAAGAAAAAGGTGCACAAGCAGCAGGGATGACCGTAGCCTGGAGAGGATGGTGATGAAAAGGCCATTCAAACGTGTGGGGGAGCTTCACAAGAAGTGGACTGAGGCTGGAGTTACTGCATCAAGAGCCACCACACGCAGACGGGTCCTGGACATGGGCTTCAAATGTCGTGTCCTCTTGTCAAGCCGCTCCTGAACAACAAACAGAATGAAATCGCTACAGTTGTTGAGGAGATGCCGGGTCCAAGCAGGGCGTCGGTTGCTCCTAAAGTAGTAGAGAAGGTTTCTGAGATTGTGGAAAATTCAGAAATTGTTGGAAAAGTCGGTGTAGCTGCAGCTGGGGAGAAAGAGGGTATATGTTCCCAGAGGATAGAACAAGCAGTTGTTGATTCAGATGATGGCTGTAACAGTGAAGACGAGGCTATGGTAAATCCAGAAGATGGTGATTCTGTGTTGGGAGATGAAGAATGTCTTTTTAAAATCCCCCAAAAAAGGAAGTTGTTGGAATGCCCTGCTGAAAAAAAAGCAAAAAGAATAGATGGCATTCATATGAGCCAGACTGACACTGAGAGCGAAAGTGACATTTCAGAATGTAGTGTCACTGCTAGTCTGCCCCAAAGTGGTTTTTCTAGCCGAACTTACACTGTTGTGGATATTAAGTCATTTTTGAAAATAACAAAAAATGTGAAAAAAGTCAAACTAGAGGAGTACTTTCCAGACATAATACAGTTTATCGAGAAGGTAAAGATTTTTAGAAGTGAAAGTTGTTTCACTAATCAAGAGGTTTACCGTCTTAAGAAAATTATTACGAAATTAAGTAGTCAGTCAGGCGGGCCCAGTGAAAACAGCCAGAATGGGTAAATTGAGGCATCTTTTATGGCTTTGTTTCTTTTGCTCTCTTTCTTTATCCTTTATGGGGAAATACATTTTGCTTCCTTGAATGTTAATGGAGCAAGAGATTTTAAGAAGAGAGCTCAAGTTTTTGAATTAATGAAATATAAGAAAATTGATGTGTTGTTTTTACAAGAGACACATACTGATGTAAGATGTCTATGAAGATTCTCAGTCATCCAGGTCATAGTTATCCAACGAAGGTTAAAATGAAGGGCAACTGGACTTGGTAGGTCCAAGTCCAGTTGCCCTTCATTTTAACCTTCGTTGGATACTGATGTATCAAATGCTGTAGACTGGGTAAAAGAATTTGATGGATTAGTGATTTTAAGCCATCATACCTCATTGAGTGGTGGAGTTGCAGTGTTATTTTCAAAAGATTTTACTCCATACTCTTATAGTATAGAGGAAAAAATGAAAGGAAGGTTGCTGAAGATTAAAGCTGTATTTGAAAATAGTTATTTTGTTTTTGTCTGGGTATACGCTCCAACTATGGCAT